CTTTTGTCTTTTGTAATTGTTTTTATTTTTGTTTTTCTTGGTTCTTTTCTAAAAGGAAGATTTTTCTATACTGTTTTTTTTTCCCTTTGTCTTGTTTGATATATATATATATGTGTGTGTGTGTCTGTGTGTATGCATGTATGTATATGTATATATATATCTATTGGCGCGCGCGAGCGGAAGGCGCGAAAAGGAAGGCCGAGAGCCAACGTTGTGGTTTTAGGAGCATGTGGAGGCATCAGCGGTGCGGCGGTGTGTGTTTGGTGCACGGGGCTGCACGTAAATAAATACATACACATGATGGTATGAGTCCGATATCGCGCGGGGGTTTTCTCTTTCTCTTTCTCTCTCTCTGTATGTGTTTCGCGTGATACTTCATTCTTTCTTCCTACTGATTAGCATTCGTGACTTGCCAGGAGTTTTCTTTTTGTTGTTTTTTTTGCCGCGGTGGATTGTGTCGGGGGAGCGTCACTTGCGCCCTTGGCCATTACTGCTGTTCCGTTGACAAACTCTTCCCTCTTTTTTTTCTAAGTTTGTTTTTTTTGTTTGTTTGTTTGTTTGTTTTTTCTTTGCTTGCGCACGTCTTCTGCAATCGCATATGAGCATGGCTGGCAGGCAACCCACTGCGCAGTGCCTCTGACGCGTGCATGCATGGATGCAATTGCGTGTTTGCGCGTTTGTGTGCAGCGATGCGTGCAGCGCTAACAAAATTTGCCCAGGGGGCCGTGCGTGGAGCAGGTCCTTGCGTGCATGGACATCTAACTGTATCTCTTTCTCTCTCTGGGCACGCGCACTGCTGTGCATTCTCCCGTGCGGAGGTGCACTGGAATAGTACGAAGAGCAGGAAGAGAAAAACGCATAACAAAAGCAACAGCACAGAAAAACGAAAAGAAAAGAAAAGAAAAGAAAAAACAATCTGTTGAATATTATATGTAACTTCTCGTTCCTTCTCGCGGTGTTTGTGTTTCTGGAGGCGAGACGGCGCAAAGACGAAATGAAGCGCATAGTTGTTGTATGTTTCTGTAGGCATTACGTCCTTGTTTTCTGCTGGCAGCCCGTCCGCAACGTATGCATGTGGGGGAGATGCAGGGAGGCGGAGACGGTGGGTGTGGTGCATGGGGCCATGACGCGTAGGCACACACATACGTCCACAGTGAGAGTGGGACATGGGAGGGGGGGGGGGGGAGTGTAACTATCGACCCTCTCCGTTTTCTTTGCCTCGCCCCACCACCTCGCGCCGCTCCTCGCCTGAGATGTGAGGAGGTGTTTTGCAGCTGTCGGTGCTTGGCTCCTGTCGCGGGCATTCGCGCTCCGTTTTTTCCTTTTGCTTATTCTCCGAGCCCCCCCGTTGGCGTCGCCCACGCACGCACCCACACAGCCCCTCTTTTTCTTATTTTACTCCCCACGCCCCGGCGCGAAGGCGGCGTTAGAAGCCTGCATGCATGCATCACTCAAATACTTGTTCTGTTCTGTTTTGTTTTGTTTGTTCTGTTTTTTTTCCCCCGGGTGATTCTTCGAGGCATACGCCCCGCCGACATCCCCCCTGGCGCGCCGACTGCCGCGTCATCTCCCGCCCTCTGCGTTTCTCGCTCCTTCACTCACGCCCCTCCTCGCTGCACGCTCTTTTTTTTTTTATCTCTTACACACACACACACACACACATCACTGCTGCGCGCAGGTGTAGGGGCGGAAGATGGCGAAGAAGAAGTTGAACCCCGCCGCGCTGCTGCCGGCGCTGACGGCCAACACGCGGTACATGAAAAAAATGAAGTTCATCACGAAGCGGAAGGAGGCGGCGGCAGCGGCGGGGCGGCGGGGCGGCGCCGGCGCGAAGAAGAAGAGGCGGGCAACGGAGAAGAGTGGTGGCCGTGGCGCGGCAAGGGGAGGCGGGACGAAGACGGCAAAGACAACACAGGCGAAGAAGTCTTCCACCGTCTCGGCGAAGAAGAAAAAAGCGGCCGTCTGCGGCGGGGCGGCCAAAGCGGGGCGGCGGAAGCCTCTTGATAGTGGGAGCGGCCGGGACGGGGAGGTGCCTGGTGCGGCGTTGCAGCAGCAGCAGCAGCAGCCGCAGCCGCAGCCGCAGCCGCCGCGGGAGGAAGTAGACCGGCTGCTGATCGCGCGCGCGATTCGCGGCGAAGAGGGCGCGCACGACGCCGCGTTGTCCGCCGGTGGGGCGTGCGGGGCGGGGGTGGACGACCTCGTGCAGCACCCTTGCCTCCCCTTCCTCGAGGACTACGCGGAGCAGAAGCGCAGTGAGGTTGTCTCCGCCGACACCCTCCTGCGCAACGCCCACGCGTACTTTAAGGACCTTGGAAAGAGGGAGTCCGCGATGCGGCGCGCCGCGGCGAAACGTCTAAAGGAGTTGAAGAACATCAACCGCCGCGGTGGCGACAAGGACGGCTTCCGCTACGTTGTCCCGCGAAACGTGAAGGAGGTGGTGCGGCAGATGACGCAGAACGCCGAGGGGGCAGGTGAGTCTGCCGCGGTGGACACAGCGCAGTTGACGTCCACCTTTGGGGGGGACGAGGCGCAGGACACATTGGAGCCGCCCATGCACCGCAAGCGGCGCAAGAAGAGCTGCTACTCGGACTTTTACCAATTCCAGGTGAGCAAGCGCTGGACGCGCAATGCTGAGAGTTTCCTGAACAGGGGCCGCGCGCACAAGTCGATGTTTGAAGCCTCGCGGCCGCAGCGCTCCATCAAGAAGTTCTAAACGTGAGGTGGGGTGAAACGGCGGCAATAGGGTGAAAGGAAAGACGAAGAGAGAAGCAAAAAAAAGGAGCACAAAATGCAGTGGTGGGAAGTGTAAAGAGCCTGCGTGTGAATTGAACGGCACCTCGTGCGAAGCCCGCATGTGAAATTCCGCTTGTTCCCCCCCTCCCCCATTGTGTTTCGTTGTGGGCTTGTGTGCCCCGTTGCCCTTTGGCTGGGGCGCGAGGGAGAGCGGAGGCCATAAACAGTGACTGCGAGGGAAAGTTGGCATTTAATTGTCGTTTAATTGACGTGATTGTTGATTTTGTCTCTCACGCCTCAGAGAGGCAAATAGTAATATAATACAAACAAAGAAAGATGATACGAAACTTTTGGACTTGGAACAATGGCATAAAAGACTTCTTTTGCACGTGGCGTGGTCCATGGATGTTTTTTCCCTTTTGTCTTTTCCTTTTTCGGCTCTGCGTGAGTCTCTCTCCCTCCCTCACACTCTCCTAGCGAGTGCGTGGGCCTTGGTTTTCTCTGGTCGCGGCGGGCTTTGGGAGCACGGCGGCTGTGGCATTGTTTGCGCTAGCGGGGGTGGTGAGGCACGCGTGCGGGCAGCGAGGCGCCGTGGCTGCGGATGGGGAAGTTGCGTGATCTGTGGACCGGCGAGGATGCGCGGGCGGTGAATGCGCCGCAGCCGGTGCGCATCGCGCGCGGCTGGGACGTGCAGCCGGAGGTGCTTCCCGCCAAACCCCTCGCCCCGCGCAGGCGCAAGTACGCACACGTGCGGCCGAACAACCGCGACGCGGTGGCGCTGCCGCACCCCGGGCAGAGCTACAACCCGGCGGACGACGACCACCAGGCCGCGCTGCGAGTGGCGGTGAGGAAGCTGCAGCGCAAGCGGGCCGCGGACGAAAGGTTCATGGCCGTGATGACGCGCGGCCGCGACACGCCGGTCACGGGGAATTTCTCCGCAGACAAGACGTGGGAGGAGGAGGTGCAGGAGCGACCGCAGAATCCCAAAAAGAAGCCAGGCACGAAGCAGGAGGAGGAGCAGGCGAAGAAGAAGAAACGACAGAAGAAGAATAAGAGCAAGAAGAAGGCGTCGAAGGCCTCGCTGCAGGCCGCCAAGCGTGCCCTCCCGCATCGCCGCCACCCGAAGCGTGAGGTTGCGGTGAAGGAGGTTGACGAGATTGACGAGATCGTAGCGGTGCACGAAGCGCGGCAGGCGCGGCGTGAAGCTGCGCGGGAGCGGCGCCGCACCGTGAAGCGTGAAAACATGCAGGTGAAAAGTTTTGGCCGCCACCACCACACGCCGTTGGTTTTGGATGTCGCACCCACAGACAAACTCGTCGGATCGCTGCGCCACCTGAACGGCGGTTACATCCACCCGGTTATGGATCGAATGAAGTCGCTGGAAGAGCGCAATCTTGTGCCGGCCCGGATGCGGCACACGTACAATAAACGGAAGGTGCTGAAGCCAAAGGGCGAGGTGCGTGTGAAGCGAGAGACGTTTGGTGTGATGCCCGAGACAAGCTTCTAGACGACCACGCGCAGGAAGGCGAAGTGCGGGGAGGGAGCGAAAAGGAAAGAAAAAGAAGAAAGGAGTAGTGACGGCGAATTAACGACTCTATTCCCGTCAGTTAAAGCGGTTAAAACAGACCCACGCGTTGCCTGCGTTTGCCGCACACCCTCCTCAGGCAGGAGGCGGGGGCGGTGCCCCGGTTTTGTACATTTTTTATTTGTTTGCTTTTGCGTTCTCTCCCCTTGACTTTGTTGGTTCTTGTCACTTTTCTCTTTCTCCCCATCTTTTTTTTTTACTGCTTTGCATGCGCTTCTGTTTCTTGCTGCCGCTGCTGGATGCGCAGGGCCATACGAGCGGGCGCGGTTCACTTTGCGCTGATCGCAGCAGCAGCAGCAGCAGCAGGCGGCAAAGGGAGCGTGTGGGGGAGGGAGAAAACTACACGAAGAAGAAAAAGAAAAAAAAACAACAACAACGCACACGTACGCACAACAACAACAAAGAGAGCTGCACGGAGGGCACGCACCGTCGAAATGAGTTTTCTTGTGAAAACGCTGCTGGGGGACAACGTGGTGCATCCGGTGGCGCGCGGCGGCGCGGCGGCGCCGGCGCCGGCTCCCCAGCAGGACGAAGAGGCCGATGAGGCAAAACAACGTGTCCCCACACGAACGCTCATTCTTCGCGTTCAATCCTGCACAGTCGCCCAGGACCGACGTGACGCGTTGGCGGAGCTGCGGGCGTCCCCCGACCTCCCTTACGTTATGGCGGCCAAGGAGGTTTCCTACCTCTGCAACGTCCTGCGAAGCTTCCCTGAGGACAGCGAGGTGGTGGAGTCGTCCCTCGCCGTCCTCTCGGGCATCACGGACCTCGCGAGTTACCCCGCCGTCTCCGCAAACTACGCCGTCTCTGAGAAGGAGAAGCGGCGTATTCGCGATTCCTTTCTCCACGAACTCGTTCCGGAGGTTCCGTTGTTTTTGAGCCACGTCAAGGCCGGGGTTTTTTGGACGCGCTTTCACGCCGTACAAATGCTGCAGCGGCTGCAGGAATACGACCCTTCCGCTGTGCACAAGCTGCTGCTTTCATCACACGGCATCGGCGTGCTCCTGGACATTTTGAACGACAGCAACCATGGTGGTGCCCTTCGAAATGAGGGATTGGTGCTCATCACATCCATCACGGCAACAGACACCGAGCTGCAGACGCTGCTGGCCTTCGACAACGCGTTTGAGACGCTTTTTGTGGTCATCAAGGAGGAAGGTGGGCTGGACGGGGGCGTGATCGTCTCTGACTGCCTCACCATTGCCCATAACATGTTGCGAGACAACAAGGCAACACAAAAGCTCTTCCGCGAGATGGGGTGTGCGCGTCTGGTTTGTACATTATTGGAGGCTGTGCCTGACCGTGTGCGGGCTGCCCGACACCACACTGCCTCCCTCAAGAACCAGAGCGCTGACGCTGGAGAGAATGTGGAAAATAATTTCACTCCGCTGAGTAGCACGCAGAACGATGTGATTTTTAAGGCGGTATCCATCCTTAGCTGTCTTCTGCGTGGGGCTGAAACCCACCAGGAGGGTCCTGCAGCCCAAGAGGCCCTTCTTCAGAGCGGCGCATTGGGCCCATTGTCGTCGGTGGCCCTAGGAGGTGTTCTTGTTGATGATGCAGCACGGGTGGAGGCCTTACGAACTTTGGCAGTTCTGCTTCGGGATAGAAGGGTGGGTATCGAAGAGTTTATGCAGTTACAAGTTGTAACTTTGCTCTGCCGCGAACCCCCATTGCGGGTAGAAGAATGGCCAGCACTCCGCGCAATTCTTCATGTCTTATTAGGAATAGAAGATAGGGTGATGCAGTCTGCTGCTGCGCACGTACTTCATGCCCTGCTAAGTGTTTCTTCCTCTGAAGGCGAGCTTGCGAGAAGGTTACTGAAGGGGTTTGCCCCTCCTTTGCCCTCATCTGCACCACCGTCGGCCGCGGCCAGGGCCTTGAGGAATGCCTTGCCGGCTGACTGTGGTGCAGCAATGGCCATTGCCATTTTTGGTTCTATTCCATGTAGTAGAAGTAGCCAAAAATATTATTCTGCCTTGTTGTTGGACCGTCTTTTGGGTGTGCCTGGCTCTGTTGAGAAGCTCTTGGCAATGGGACAACGCGAGGCGGTGACTTCGTCGCAGATGCAGCATTCTGCTGCATCTTCAGCAACGAATAGTGTTTTCCTCGCGTACGCGCAATACGTCATTAACTGCCTTCGTGGTCATGGCGAGATGGACCTCAACACCCTCAGTGCCTGCTTTAGGGCGCTGTTGCGGTGGGTACTTGGCTGCGAACAGGCGGCTCGGTTACTCGTGGGCGACGGGACGTACTACAAGTCACTCCTGCAGCGAGCAGGGCAAGAAGATGGTCCGGTGCATGTGCGTTTCTGGTCTGCGGCTCTCTGTGCCGCGGTGTGCCTCGCTGCCCCGAGGGACGCGCCGGACGCAGTCCAAGACCACCCAAGCGATGCAAATAGACTGCGAATGGGCGGGAGCGGAGTTGGTGCGGAGAGCCTCCCGCCCTCGTCTTTGCTGGACAGGCGGCACTTGCTGGAGCTCTTCTTCAACCACCTGGGGGGCCCAGCTGTCTTTGACAGTTTCCTCTTCGACGTGAAGGCCTCCAGCCCAATGTGGGCGGAGCCGCCAAAAGATGCCTTTCTGCGTCCAACCCCCGCTTTGTACGACGAAAAGATGAAAAACACGCTCCTGGGCGTCGTCAAGCAGTTCAACGACATTTGCCCGTTGCGTGGCAGGGTGCAGCCCGGGCCGTTGCAGGAGGGCACACTGTCGGCGGCCACAAACACCGCCACGGCCGTCTTCAATCCCGCTTTGGGCGACGTAGACATCTTTTCAGAGGGACCGTCGCCGTCCACGGTGGATCCGAGTGCCGCGTTTGGGGCGGCGGCGGCGGCGGCGGCAACCCCGGGGCAGCAGCAGCTACTGCAGGTGGGGGCCCCAGGCAGCGCCGTGGAGGAGGTTCGCATCAGCCTGCAAAACGCATACGAGTCCAGGGTGAAGGAGCTGGTCGAGGCAAACGACGCGTTGCAGCGGGAACTCCAACTTGTGCGGGAACAGCTGCACGCAGACGCTGACGCACAGGCTTTGGGAAGGGAACGTGAAAGTCGGCATTTGGAGGAGGTGGCGAGTTTGCGGGAAAACATTAGACTCCTGGAGGAGGCGCTTAGTGCCGAGGAGGAGGAACACCGGCTCCTGGCGCAGTCGCTGAACATGCTGGAGGAGCAGCTGCGGGAGGCCCGTGCGAATCCGACGAGCACCACCGAGGTTTTCGAGCTTCGCCGTGAGGTTCAAAAGTTGACGGAAGAGCGGGACCGCCTGCTCGTCCTCGTCGCCGAGCTGGATGAGGAGAAAACCCCTGCGACGACGTATCCAGGGCGTAGAACGACCTACCCGTCGCCGTCGCCGCCCCCGCTGCCCCCGCCATCCGCCCCGCCCTCGCTTTTTTCGGCGAAGCGGGCGCTGCAGCCGTTCGGTGAGGGTGAGGGTGCGTTCGCATTGCCCGCAACACCACACTGCGTGGGAGTCGCGGAGGGGACGCGACTGACGCCAGAGGCATGCCCGCAGAGTTCTTCCCAAACGACGGGCCCAAATGGGTTTCAAGCGTCATCATCTTCCTTGCAACCCTCACAGCAACAACAAGAGCAGGAGCCGCAGCCGCGGCGGCGTGAATCTCAGCCGGTTGCAGAGCCGTTTGGGCGAAGTATGGAAACCGTGAATGGGATGCATGCGTCCGCCGCGGCAGTGCCAGCCGCGGAAAGAAATTTGTTTCCTGCTGACTCCTCTGAAGAGTGCGTGCGTGGAAACGACGTCGGGGCGCGGCGAACAGAAGCAGCACCCGTCGCAGGGGCTGCACGAACTGCTGCCCCGCTGAACTTTAACCCCTTCGCAAATATGGCAGGCGCTCACAACGATCCTGCGGGGGACCCGTGGTAGGAGGGCGGCGGCGGCGGCGCCGGAGGTTGTGAAACGCAACCGCCAAAAGAAAACTGAAAAAGGCGGTCATGGCGCTTAATCCCCGCGTGGATTCCCACAGCATGTGACTTTTTTTTTTTTGCTGTTGTTGCGGTTTTGTTTTCATTGCCGCTTTTTTCAAGTTTCCTTTGTGGCTCAGTTATTCTCTATGGCAA